TGCCCATTTTTTCCCCACAGAGCAGCTAGTGGATTTGAATCACATACCTTTGTGTTACCAGCACAATTCCATACCACCATGCCAGAGGGCCCTAAATGTTTACAGAGATTCCCTAATAAGGGACATTAATGAACATAAGCAAAGATCTTACAGCTCAAACTTATTTTTGTTAGATTGTGCCTGCATTTTTCCGAGCTAGCCTAAAAAAAAACACCTATGAACCATTGTTTGTGTATTTAATTTAGGTGGTGTATGGTGTCACACTCAAATTATGTTTCCCTTTTTAAAATATGTATCATTATTTTAGATTACAATTTGATTTTAAGGAACAAATTAATACGTGCATATTAAATATATTTTGGAAAAGTAAAACTAAATAGCAAAACATTTAAGTTATATATAATTTTAAGACTAATGATAAATAATCTGACAAATGTGATGTTAAAGGTATTTTATTTACTGACAGAATTAAAAATGGTAACTTCCAGGTAGTGCAAAAGGCACCACTAAACCCAATTACAAAGAACTCGTATTAATACACAATGTTTAAGCAATGCTATACTTATATTTGGCAAAATGCTGTATTTGTTCAGTCTGTATATAAAACTGATCATCTATGAATCAGTCAGTATAAAAATGTCTATAAAAAACAGAAACAAAACAATTTAGACAGTGGCTCAAGAAAACAAGCTGCCATTTATGCATAGATTGCAGTATATAGCCTAACCAAATGTCCCTTTTGAGTTTTCAAGTTGCTGGAAAAAAGTGTTCAGAAACACATTAACAAGGCACATTGTACAAGCTACAATATTATTCAATATCCATTAACAGATGCCCTGCCCTTGAAAAGCAAGTGTTCACAATTTTACTTTAAAAAACCAAAACCATTTTAAAAAAATAACACACGTGATTACTGATCATGTTTCAAAACCTGTGGAAGAAAACAACGAAAAAGCAAAAATTCTTACACACCGAGCTTGAAAACATACACATCTAACCTCCCCAAGTATTTATTGGTTTGGTTTTTAGAGATCCACCTAATTAGAGAATAAAATACTAAAACTCCAAGCAAATACAGGGCAAAACCGGGCAATTAACAATTACACAATTTAAAATGTAAAAAAAAAAAGGAAAACTTCTTAATACACAAAACAGTATCCACTTAAGCTGCCTTTCTCCAAATAGTAACAACTTCTCCCACTTTAAGGATATTGTTGCAAAAAAAAAAAAGAAAGAAAGAAAAGACATCCTTATCTGTATGCCTTCTCACACTTCTCTTCCCACCCTTAACTATTTAAGTGGTGTCAAATTTCAAGTGAAATTGTTACATGGCAAGGCTGACACCATTGCTTTTTTCCTAAATGAAGCATTTTATATAACATTTTAAGCATAAACTATGTGGGTAGGGATGACTTTTACAATACATCAGCATGGCTGATAGCAGTAATACCATCTATGAGAGCAGCCCAGTTTTTAAAAGAATTAAGCTAATATGTATGGACTTTATAAAAAAAATTTTAAGGTAACATTACAGATACATATTAGTATCTCCCAGTGCAAGGAGCAGTCTCAAAATTAATCTAAATACAAAACAAAACAAAAACCAAACCCTAGTATTTGGAAATGTATAAGCTCTCCACTATTCACTTTAATTTAATCTTCTAGTTGGAGTCCTTCATTTTTATTGTTTGTAATTCAAAGAAAATGGGGGTCATCACAAAAATACCTTTCCTAGCTCTTTTTCTTAAGAGCATATAGAGGCAATATTATTTCTTTGAGGAGGAAAAAATAACCAAGTTAGATTCAGTGAAGACATGAAAGTTACAAATCTCTTTTTCACAGATTTGGGAAGGAAAAAAGAAAATGCTGAAAGGTCCTCTCAATTTAAGCAAACTGTCTTCTCATTAGAATGAAAGTACTGACACAACAGAAAGAACATGTAAACAGGAACAGTTTGCAAACCAGGAAAAATAAGTCTGGGACCAGAAAAATTAATGTTAGGGAAGACCAAACCTCCCTGCAATGGGAAATAAAAAAATCCAATTGCTTTGCACTTCTGCAGATCCTCCTCCTCTCCTCACACACACAGGCAATCGTATAAATGCATTGCCATAGATGATAAAAGATGGCTCACCTTCAGTTTATAGGGCAGTACATAATTCAGTTAGTCAAGGAAGAAACAGTATTAACAAAAACAAACTTTGAAAACATGGTGCACTGTAAAAACTGAGAAACTCATTCGCAAAGCACTGCATGGGTGTCTTCCAGACTTCTCCCAAAGTAACATTCTATGTTATCAGTTTAGAATCTGTCATAGCTACCAAATCCAGAGGGTGTTATAGCTCACTGCTTACATTTTAAATAATATACACTAAGGTAAGCCACTGCAAACTGCTATTTACAACAGCAAAAAAATAACTCAAAATACATTTTGGCCAAGTTTAAAAAACATACTTAACAGATCAGCATAATTTAGTATTGGTTGTGGTCTTATATCTTTCACATAGCAGATATCAAATGAACACCTAAGGACAAAGAACTTCAATTCAATTATGTAAACCATTTTCTTCAACTCCTGTAGGTCCCAATTTTAGACAGAAACTTCTGATACTGCTAAATGACAGGATGATATAAAAACTGGTGTGGTAACTCTTACTCTTGGGTGAGAGTGGAGGTGCAAGAGAGGAAACAACTCCCAACAGCTGAAATAATTTGCTTTCTGGGCGCAAAACTAGGCCCAGATAAGACAAACAAAAAGTCAGTACAACCGATAAAGATGTAAATATATTTAGAGAACCAGGAAATCTGGGGGAAAGGTAAAAAAGACCTTTCATTGCAGTTTTATATACAAATTAGTTCATACACAGGGCTGATTTTCTGTTCTCTTTTGAGGTACTAACTTGCTAATAAGTACTAATGACTTTCATAACTGTATGGAAGAGCCCCCATGTATTCAGATGCTTGCATCCAGAAAATATTTAGCTGGTATATTTTCAAGTTACAAAAAAACGGCCCTAAAACAGACATCATAAAATACACTTTCAGAAAAACATCACCTATCTCCCAACTATGGTAAACACAAAATAGCTTCTAGCTCAGTTTGACAAAACTTTACAGACTTGGCCCCTAGGACAAAAACCAAATAAATAAAGGGGTACTCAAAATGAAAAGGGAATGGAGGGAGAAGGGGGTAATCTAGACCCTTGTTCTAAAGAAACATTCCTGGCACATTACCAGCTCAAGTGGAAGAACAATTTAGCAACACCATTTATTCCAACGACTCTAGACTAGTGAGGAAAGAGCACAGCTAGCTCTTCACTGAAGGGGAGGATGCAGGAACAGCCTCCCATGGTACCCTGTACCAAACTGCTACAGGATTACTGAAAACTAGAATACTTCACATAACTATGTGCATTTTTCCCCCTTGAAAATCTTTTATAGATGTATACTATTAAGAGTTGCAGAGGACCTGGAAAAATAAGCTGTTTATGAAGGGGATACTACTGTCAGTAGATTGTGCTTTTGATTTTAAGATGAGTTTGCTTAACATGAAGGGGAAATCAGTGAATCTGAATGGCTCAAAAAAACCCATCACAACTGCTAAAATATAAAGTGACAGGCTAGAGGTGAAGGAGTAGGTTTTCTGTGTCAAGTTAACTGGCCTATGTGTGACTTGAACCCTGAACCTGGACTCATTAGCACCAACACTCTCAAGAATAGTTGTGGTAAGGAAAAAAAATTTCCACAGGCCCCACTGCTATCATTCAATTCAGTAGAGACGCCCTCAGAATTTCACACAGGGTCCAATACTGGGCAGCACACACTCCCACTTCACATCAGTATACAGTCCTCACAACAACTCTGAGGGAGGGAAATATTACTCCCCTCCTGGTGTAAGGAAGAGAGGTCAAAAGTGTTTAAAGGTTTGGCCTGAAGCCCAAGAGAACTAAGAATGAACTCCGGGAAACTAACTTATTGCTCTTTGTTTAAATGCTGGAAAATCTTTTATCTCACCTACTTCAATCTTCCATATTTGCTACTTGGCAGAGCAGGCTTTCCCACAGAGGGGGATTTATCAATGGATGTGGAAATACAAAGTCTATCTCTTCTCTTTGGGCAGATACGAAAACAAGTGCCAGGCACAGTACTTCTGGACATAGAGCTGATGTGAAGTGGGAGGTAGGCAAAGTAGCAGGAGAATAATCAGAACCATTTAAAATGCTAGGCTAATGGGTGAGTTATAGACATTTTCCCAAATAAAATTTCACAGGTTTGATTTAATCCTTCTGTATATTAAACAAATGCTTTTGTCTCAGGATACCTGTAATATCTGTACCACGTCACAGAGTCACATCAGAATTACTAAACACACTGTTCACCAAAACTTATTGTACCTGAATTCCAAAATGAACTGTTTGACTAACTGGGGGAAAAAACCCAAACAAAACAAAACAATCCAAACCATACATACAGAAATCAAGTTTTCATTTTTTTAAAAAAGTATAGCCATAATTCCATTATATCCATGGCAACTATCACATTTGTTAATGCTCATGTTAGTGTGTGTAAAAATGCACTCAAATACAGAAAAGATTATCAAGTACTGGTCAATAAAGTGTATAGCTGACCCTGAGAATAAATTTTTGCTTACTTAAAAGAATGATGAAGTAATACAAAATAAAAACAAAACTGAAAGATGCCTATTCTCTCACTTGGGAAGAAATGTCTTCAAGATGCTAACATAAATACACCTTAATAGGCTTAAAGACATTCCCAAACACCCAACACTGTAATCGTATTGATATGTTTCCAAAAACATTCTGGAAAAGAATGAGAAAAAAAGTAAATATTAAGAGAAAGGCATTATGCAATACACAAGCACGTAAATGGTTTTCAGGATAGTGTCTAAACTTTACACTGATAAAACTATGTGATTGGTCATCAGTTGGCTGTAAAGAGACTACATCTTCACTGTACATCCATACACACACACCTACAAACCAAGAGAAGCCAACCAACAAAACTTGAAATTCTTAGTAATTGTACTGACGTGGGCAAGGCTGATGAACAACCCAGCTATTGTGCTTGACTTGCCGAGAGTGGCAATCCCTGGTAAGATTTTGGCGGCGAAGGCTATTTCTGGTCAGAGACTGTCTTTCACTGTGTTCTTTTATCCACTGGGAAGGACGAAAGCTCTTGGGTTGTTCCAGAAAAGCTGTAGCAGCAAGAGCTGTAACATAGCAATGAATGTGCTGCCCTATTTCATGTTCAGCTTCCACTCTGAAACAGAAAGGGAACAGTATGTGTGGGTGTGTTTGTAATAAAAACTGGGAAAAATTTCCAAAAAATTTATAGTCTTCCTGCCACATCTTTTACCAAGATTTTTTTTACAGTTTTAGCAAATCCTGTTCATCATCTTTGACTCATCTGTACAACACGTCTGTACCCTTCTATATTGTTGTTATGCACATTACATATTACATTATGGTGAGTCTATAGTAATTGTAAATATCTGTTCCTTTATATAGCTATTATTTTTTAAAATTGTCGCTTTGCAATTTAAATTGCCACACTGTTTACTGCTGAAGAAGGCACAGTATCTTACAGCTGACAGAAAAATTTCTATTTTATGATCATAATCACAAGAAATCTACTAAAATGCTACAACTTACATTAATAGACATATGCTATAAAAACCTCAACTTGTTACGGAAACAGAATATGTTACTTTCACCTTGAATGACTTTCAACTATGCATAAACTCACATGAATAAGCCTTTTTCTGGGAGAACCAACTCTTACTGAATATCTTAATTTGTTAGCTCCTTTGTAAATATTTGTGTATGTGAATTACCACTATACTCTTAAATGACAACTATTTTAATTTCCAAATTTTATTGACTAATGAGAAAGCTGTTAACAATGCGTTATGCAGATAACACAACCCTGCTTGCTGAAACTGAGGAGGACCTCATGCACTTGCTGCAGAGGGTCAAGGACTGCAGCCTTCAGTATGGACTGAGGCTCAATGT